CTTTTTCCAGGACCTCAGATGCTTCGATCTGGGAACACCAGCTCCCTAAACAAACTTCAGTCAGGAGGTGTATCCTAGCACCAGGCAATTCATGAACATCCCTCCTCACTGCTTCAAGTAAATGCCCAGCATCTCATGCTGAGGGCAGGAATTCAGAGTGCCCATGTCACCCTCCCAGGTGGGACTTTGCTAAAAATGTTTGTATTTAGTCCCATCAGACACCAGTTTGGCAGATGTTTTCAGACATTTTGCATGCCTTCCATATTACAAGCAGTCAGTGTAATCAAAACTGACCAATCAGTCAAAAAAAAAAAATTGTTTGAAGGTTTCCTACCACCAGCTTCTTTACCCAGCTTCTGCCTGACCTGGGACAGGGGTGCAGAGTCTGTGCAGGGCAATGATTTTGTAATCTGGGACCCTACTTCTCCATGCACACAATCGCATCACTTCAACTGAAGGACATCCACATGAATGCCAATGAAATGCTCACCCCATTGCTGTTCAGGCCATTAGGGGTTTGCCCTCACCAGTACATGGAGACCAGGGTGCTGGAGGGTGTGAGTGCAACTGCATCATTACACTTCTATGCCCATGTGCTCCTGTGGGAGTAGTGTCAAGGTGCATGGCAGATGATGTGGCCCTGAGCAGTGATGAAGTACTCCTTGTACTTGTGATTTCTCCCTTCTGCTGCCCTCTTGCCCCAGGACAGCCTCAAACCCTGCAGCGCTGCACCTTCCTAGAGCAGAATCTGCTTGATGGGTACCTCAGCCCATGGCACAATGACATGGACATCCTGAAGTCAGTGTAACGTTAGACTGGCATCTCACCTGGGCTTGACCTGTCGTGCTGTGGCATCTTTGGAGGTGTCTCAGTCACAAAATAGCATTGATTAGTCAAGTGACCCTGAGCCATGAACTTGTAGCAAACAGCAGCAGGTTTACCTGCTGACGCACAGTTCCAGCTGAAGCAGCAGGAGCCTAGACCAAGAAAATAAAGAAGTCGAACTACTCATGCAAAAGACAGATCCCTAATTTAACTTCTTTTCTAATCAAGAGGTTGAAAACAAAGAAAAAAAAAGTAGTTATGAGTTCGTATCACTCATGTAATCAGTGAACTTTGCTAAGTCCTCAGAAACAAGGATCATGAAAGAATGAACCAGGCACTTCAAGCCTAATCCAAGCTTTCACAGCATTGGAAGCTCTGTCAGGGCTTTTGAGCAGCCATACTTTGCTGTCCTTCCCAGAAGGCTGCTGCTCTTCCAGGTTAAGCACATGCAAAAGACGATGACCAGGCTGAGCAGAGAGAGCTACGAGGAAGGAGCGACACGGAGAGGACAAGAGGAATGCACAGACTCACAGGCTTTCCCCAGTCGACGTGGAGCATTCATGTGCCAGATGCTCTGTACTGCTGGAAATGCACACTGCTGCTCTCTTGGCTCAGAGAGAAGAGCAGGATTTTGGAGCAGGAGAGCATGAAGTCTGTCCCCGTTACTGCAGGGACGTTGAAAGCCCATTATGTGCAGCACGATTCCAGCCATGCACTTCCTAGGCAGCCACCGTTGTATTAGAGCAGCACAGGGAAAGCTTTCTGGGGCAGGCAGCTGGGGTATCTGACTACCAGAGATGTTTAAATCATTGATTCCCAAGGACGCTGGCCCCGTTGTCACACAGTAAAGTATGATATACAGTCCCCTTGTCCATCACCACACAGCGCAATCTCTGCTAAAACCTACATGTTAACAGGCTCCACATTCAGATCTGCTGTTCTCGCAGATAAAACAGCACTAATTAACTTGAAAGCCATACTCAGCAATTGCTCAGCAAGATGATCTTCAGCTGTAATGTATCTCAGGGCAGAAAATGAAAATGTGGGTGATCAAAACAATTCCTTCATGAGACATCCGTACTTACAGGAAGTGAAATACAACCATTTGTGCCCAATGTCCGACCATCTGTGCCAAGCCTATTGATAAACCTTCCCTGACAGGATGAAATACTGCTCCTGTAAAGACATCCTTAACGTAATACGCCTCTACAGCATTGGGCTGGACTAGGTTTGAAAAACAGCTTTTTATAATACACAGATGAATTCAGCACTTAAGAAGATTAATGGATTCATAAATAGCCTAGAAATCCAAACTCGTTGAATTTAGTTCACGGAACAGGTCAAATAGGCATTTATCAAACCATCTGGCATCTGTCTTCCCTGGGGAAAAAAAACCTGTGGTCGAGCTACAGATAGCTGAGGAGCTATTGCTACACGGAGGGTTTGGTTTTCCCTGTACGCAGCTTTCTTCTAGAAATTACTGGTGCTAATTAGAAAGTAGTAGATCTTTGTGGACAAGAGTGCTGCAGACCAAAGCAGGCTGCCCCAAGCCATGTGTCTTGAAACCACTGGAGATGCCACCTTTTTGCCGGCAAAATGTGCAGGCAAAAAAACAACTTCCCTGTTTCATGCAGTAGATGCTCCAGTAGTGCAGGAGCACACAGTTGTTTTGCACATGAGCTGACGTTGGCTTTCTCCAGAGTTTACCCAACGGGCTGTGGGTCCGTCCATGGGGTGGTTCACAGATGTGCTAAGGTGCTAGTGCTGCTTGAGGCTGAGGGCATTAACTCTCACTCATGGCTGGCCAGGCCTGGTCAATGGGAATAGAACCACCCAAAGCACCTTTGCTGAAGTGTTGAGCCCTTTTTCATAGAATCATAGAATAATTTGGGTTGGAAGGGACCTTAAAGATCATCTAGTTCCAACCCCCCTGCCATCAGCAGGGACACCTTCCACTAGACCAGGTTGCTCAAAGCCTCATCCAGCCTGGCCTTGAACACTTCCAGGGAGGGGGCAGCCACAGCTTCTCTGGGCAACCTGTGCCAGTGTCTGACCACCCTCACAGTGAATAACTTCTTCCTAATATCTAATCTAAACCTGCCCTCTTTCAGTTTAAACCCATTTCCCCTTGTTTTGTCACTAACTGCCCTTATGAAAAGTCCTTCCCCAGCTTTCTTGTAGCCCCTTCAGGTACTGGAAGCCGCTATAAGATCCCGCCGGAGCCTTTTGAAAAAGTTTATTTATTTCCCCAGTTCTCCCAGACCATCACAGATGCAAGAGGGCACAGGACCAACTAAGAAAAGGCCTTCGTGCATGAACGTGTATGTTACTCACCATTTTTCAGCTCTTCTATGCCCAAAGCCTAACTTTAGATGGCCTGTCCTTTGCATACATTTTTGGGTACTCACCAGTGTGGGACCCAAAGAAGGAGTAGGGGCAAGGACAGCTACTCTCAGCTGGCTGTAGCCAAAGTGTTGTCCATGCTGAAAGCATCAGCTCAGCAAAGTGTGATCCAGGGCAGCTCCCGCTCTGCCACTGCTGCTCCAGCACCCGCAGGGACCGAACCATGGCAGGGGTGGAGTTCACATTTGTGTTGAATTGTTTGCAAAAAGGCAGGGGTTGGGGAAAAAAAAAAGGTTTAGGAACATTTGAAAGGTTTTTTTAATTAATTTCCATGTTTATTCCTATTCCATGACATTTTAGCAGTAATAAAGGATTGTATATGTGTTACCATTTCATATGAACATGTACATTATAGTATGATAAGCCAAGTATAATGATTTAATACAGTTAAAATATCACAGAAGTGTATTTCTATATAGTCACTTATTTTTTTAAAGCGTCGCTACTTAACACAAATTTAAGCATGGTCATGTTCTAACTTAAAGTGTCTATTCTTTATGCTGCAATAAATAGCGTGCCATTTGCTCTAGACCATAAAAAAGACATCCATGTGCACCCATTTGAGTAGCCTACAAAAAACCACCAGAGTAATTCAAGGATCTCAAAAAAAAAAAAAAAAAAAAAAGAGTTTTGAGCAGTTAATTTATTTTTGTGAGCAAAATATCAAATTATTTTATTAATATGCTCTGATACCTAAAACATAATTCCTTCTGGTCATATTAGGAGCTTTCTTGAAGATCTCAAAGACAAAGCATGTAAGATGGTATATAAAAGAAAATGACCACATAGTTGCTTAGTATGGCATAATATGACCTGCGATGTGGTACACATTAGTGGGGGAAATAATACAAAATATTTAGTAGAGCCTGGTTGCATTTGTCATCACCATGTTCTGCCCCTGCTGTCATGCCATGAAATAATCTACAAACAAAAACAATCTATTCCTCGAAACAATATATTCATTGAAAAATAAAACCACATTGAAACTACGTTAATAAGTGTGCGATTAAGCTTAAATAGCTTTGCCTCAGAGAAGAATGTTTTGACAAACATGGGTCCACCTGGTTCTCCTGCACCTTTGCCCGGGTAGCAGGGGGAGAAAGGATCAAAACCTTGTCTGTAGTTATGGCCAAAACACTGTGCCCATCCCAGACCCCCTGGGGCAGGCGCCCTCCCCAGATGCTGTTCTCCTGTTCATGAGGGCTGGTGCTGCATCCCTGGACGCTGCCCAGGACAGCCCTGCTCCCCCCACACACGCTGGTGGAAATCAGGAGTAGCTCGCCAGCCTTCAGCAGTACCCGCCGTGAGTGGGGGTGTCTGTCAGGATATGAAGACAGGGTCCAGTTTTGCTGGCTTGTCTTGCTCTCATAAAGTCAATGGTTGGGTCAATTGGAGTTGATCCAACAGAATGAACAGCACCAGACCACCATCTGTACAGACCCCTCTTCCCTTTGCTCCCAGCAGAGGACATCGCATGTCTCAAACTCAACCTCACTGCTACTCTTTCATTTCTCATCTTCTACACAGCTCTGTGAGCGTCTGGGAGGCTCTGAGACCCCACAGGGCAGGTTTCTTACCCAAAGTGGGACCTGGCAATGAACCAGATCCCACTAGTTCCCAGGGGAAACTGGAGTCAGATCCAATCAACCTGCCCAGGAGAGTTTGGAGCCAGATATGTATCCGGGACCCACCATACAAACTTTTCCCTAATCACTAGGTAGGTACAGGGACTAAACACTTAAGTAGGAGCCATGCTCCAGGTAGCCCTTGGACTATTTGCTCTGCAAAATAACCACTGTAAAAAGTGCTGTGAGGTAAAAAGAGGAGGCAGCTTCAATACTGTCTTTCCCCACCCCAGAAGAAACCCCACCAGTCAGTCCATCCAGCTCTGTGGTGTTACCAAAGACTTCAGTGGTGTTTGCCACATCTTCGGGAAGGCCCATCTGGAGCAAGAGTTTAGAGATAAGGCTGTTGAACTTGCTCTCCGTGGTAGACCAAGGCTCTTCACCTGGGGTCGGGCCTTCATACGTGACATTTAGCTCCACTGGGTCAAGACAGTAACCTTCTGGTGATCTCTCATAGGTCATGTCCATCAGGTCCATCCCAGCTACTGAGGAGGGGGAGGCACAGGGTATATCTCTGACGAGCCTGTAATTCTCCATCCACTCCTTTAGCCACTCGATGCGACAGTCGCACTCCCAGGGGTTGCGGAAGAGGTACAGCTGCCCCAGGAAGTACACTGGCTGGAAGACAGAAAAGGGCAGAGTTGTCAGGTTGTTACTGTTCAAGTGCAACGCAACCAGGCTGGTGAGGTTTTCAAAAGCCCCTTCCTCAATGTAGTTGATCCTGTTGCGGTCCAGGTAGAGGACCTCCAGCTCCCCCAGATCCCTGAACCAAGTGTTGGAAACATTCCTGAGGAAATTCCCCCCCAGGTTGAGCATCTTCAGGCACCTGAGACCATCAAAGGAGTTTTCTGGAAGCTCGCTGATCAAATTGTCGTTCAGGTACAGATACTCCATCTTCTGGCAGCCCTGAAAAGCTCGCTCATGAATGACATTTATCCTGTTATCCTGCAGATTCAGGTACTTCAGCTTGGTCAGGCCCTGCAGGGAGTTATAGGCTACTGCTTCAATCCTGTTCCTCTCCAGGTAAACATGTGTCAGGTTCTCCATGCCCCTGATGGCACCTGGGATCCTCCGGAAGTTGTTCTGGAAGCAGAAGAGCTCCTGCAGAGCAGGCAGCTCGATGAAGATCCTGTCTGGGATGTTGAAAAGGTTGCAGTCTGCCAGGTCCAGCTTGACCAGCCGTTTGAGGGCAGTGAAAGTCCGCGTGTGGAGATAGCGAATGTACTCATTGTGGGCCATCTTCAGCTCAGTCAGGCTGGGGAGCCCCTTGAAAGCCCCCGGGGTGATGAAGGAGATATTGTTGTGGTTGAGTGACAGGGATTTGAGGGAAGGCAAGGTCCCAAAGGCCCTCTCAGAGAGAAACTTGATGTTGTTTTTGTCCAGGTTGATAGAGGAGGCTTCGCAAGGGAACTCACTAGGGATCTGCCCCAGACCGGCCCGATCGCAGAGGACGGAGCAGCTCCGTTCCTGGGTGCACACGCAGTTGGCAGGGCAGGACCGCACGCAGGCCCACACTGCATGGACATGGGGGACCCAAAGGATCACTGTCAGGGAGGAGCACACCATTCCCACGGAGGCACAGGAGGAGAGAAACGGGATGCATCATTAGCAAATACATTTGTCTCAACAGGAAAAGCAACCCATGCTGTCTTTGCCTCTCTTCTAGCCAGGCTAATTGCCACCCACTACTTGTACACCACGACTGACTGAGGAGCTCTCATGAAAGATTCCTAAAAAACTTTTGCTGAAGTTTTTAAACCCTCTGAGAAGGCGTGTGTGTGTGTGTGTGTGTATATATATA